GGGGGGGGGGGGAGGGAGGGGAGGGGAGGAGAGGAGAGGAGAGGAGAGGAGAGGAGAGGAGAGGGACGTTCAGAATCTCACACCTTTGATCAGGAACCCAAGAGACAACAAATAACCTAAAAAAAAAAACACTAGAAGTTAATAGTCAATACCTTTTTCTTAAGTTCTTCTTGAGAAAAATGCTCCACCTGGAACCGATTGTGTTCTTCAAGGCAAATACTTAGATAAGATGTTTGATCACTATAAAATGAAAATGGTTCTTCTGCCCAAAAAAAAAAAAAAAAAAAAAAAAAGGTGGGGAGGAGGAAGGGAAAAAGAATATCAGAAACAGATCTTTCCAAGACTGATCCCAATGCAATCCATCTAAAGCAATTTAAATAGGGGGGAGTACAGGGGTCGCATTAATTACACATAGGGAGTTTAAAGCACCACCTTTGGAGCAAAAGTAATTTTCCCTCTCTCTACCCGCTGATATTTCAATGTATGGTTTCATCTTTGGCTGGAGGTTTTCACTGTGGCCAATTCTGAACTATAATTTGCACATCAAGTGTTGTGCCTGGAGACCATTCTGAATGGCACAAGCAAATGGTGATTTCAGTTTAAATGAGGGAGTGATTCTGTTTAGGCAAGAATTCAGGAAAATTAGATGTGACCGTCAAGGGTAGAACTCAAGGGAAATAAAAGTGCCTGATGTATTTTTTACTGGCCGCAGAGCCCTTGTGAGAAGCAAGCACACTAAGTGCAGAAATTGCCTGCCAGAATTAAGATAAAAGAATCTTTGGTCACCTACGTAAAGGTCTGCTTCCTTTGCAGCAAAGGTCACATTCTCATAGGGAGGAAAGAAGTGGAGGAAGGGGAGGATGTTTATTGAGCCAGGCATATCCAAAAACAATATCTCATGTAACACATGTGGGTAAGAGGTAACACCCCTAAAATACAGTGCAGAATGCTAGAAATAACTAGACTTCAAAAGTAGATAGTTGGCTCAAATCTGGGCAAATCAAACCCCACCCCACCCCCCAGCTGAGCCTCAGTTTTTTCATCTGTAAAATGAAGTCAATGTCTACTCTAACTAATGGGATGGTTGTGAGGATCTGAGATGAGAAGTACCTGGCACTGTGCTCTGTGCACAGCAGGTACTCAAGAAATGTCAAACCCACCACTGCTATTACCAATTTTTACGATATGTGCCAGGCACCAGGCTAGAGACACAGAAAGGAATAAGATACCAACCCAGGCTTTAAGAGGCTCAGATCCTAGCAAGGGAGAAGGCCAAATATTACTGTGCCAAGTATGGCAGTGCCAGTCCCACAGGACCCTCATCTTGTAGTGCTCCCTACATGAATCTACCATGCTAAAGTCAGTCTACCCCACATGTCTATGCAGCCCTAGGTGCTCTGCAGTGGGTGCTGTGGTAGGCAGAGCCCAGAAGTTTTGGGCAATGAAAGCTGTTTAGCAGAGAAAGGGGATTACAAATCCCCAAGGTAATCTGGAGCTAGGAGTATCAAATGATGCAGAAAATAGTAGAGGCAGCAAGGACGCAATCCTGCAGCAGACGCTCTACAGAATTAACATGATTTACTGGGCTCCTCTACCACAAAGGCCAAAGCAAGATAGATACAGACTAGGAGAGCCAACATCAACATAGTCACCACAAAAAGGGTCCCTGAGCGAAATCCTGTAGGTGCTTCATCTCCTAGTGAAGTTTTTGGACTCTTAAAGGTCAGCCAAAGCTTTCCAAGTGGAAAAACCAAAGGGAAAAACATACAAGAGTGTGTACCTTCCCGTCTCCGAATTTCGCTGATCTGCTCCTCCAGAGTCTTTTGCAAATTCCGATACGAGAGCACATCCTGCTCCAGTTGCTTCCGCAGGGCAAAAATGTTGTTTAACTCACCCTGAAGGCTGTTGACACTTGGTAAAAGAAGATACCAGAAATTTTTAAACAGACCTATTTGTGCTTTAAGATGCAGACCCCACCAGGAATCCTTCCTGTGATTTTTCTGTCATTTGCCTTTTTCTGGTTATAAAAGTAAATACATCTTTACTATAGAAAATTTTAAATATAAAAGTATCAAGAAGAAAAAAAATTACCATGATCTCACTGCCAATTAACATATAACAGACTGTATTTCCTCCTAATCTTTTCCCCATGAGAATTTTCACAAAGTAGAAATAATACTGGACGTACAATGCTGAATTGTGCTTTCCTCAGTTAAATATTTCCCTCTATTTCTGGAAATTATTTGCAAGCATCATTTTAATGATTATATAATATTAAATCAAGTGAATATCCCACCATTTTCTTTAACTCATACTGTATTAGTGGACATTTGGGTCATTTCCAAATGGTTACCACAGACATGACTAGGTGGAAATAATTTAATTCTTCAGAATGTTTCTCTGTTTGGAATAATGCCTTGAGAGGGCCTGGGTATAGAAGGAGGGCTCCCCAGGGCCTAGCTGTCCCCTGGCACCCAGGCTTCAGAAGACAGGGAGACAGAGGCTTTCTGTTGTGTTACTCTCGAGAAGTTCACATTGAGAGTACAGGTGAGGGACGAAAGGGAAGAGAAAAAAATAAAGGAAGAAGAGTGAGTCAACAATAAGAGGGAGAAAAAGACCAATACAGAGGCCAACTGCACTCTTCTATAGTGGGTTAACTACTCAAAAATGCACAGCATGAATGGATTTTTATTTGGGGAGGTGCATGTCAAGTTTCACATCTGGGTCAATGTGATACAGTGCTGAGCTGTACAGAGAGCCTGAGTGGAACCAGAAACCCAGAACCCAGAGGAGGCCGTGAAAATACACACTTCCCAGAAGGTGCATTAATCCTAGGGAGGCCTGTCCAACAGAACTTTCTCCAGGGATGAAAATGTTCTATTGAGCATTTGAAATGTGGCTAACGTACCAAGGAACTGAATATTTAATTTTACTAAACTTGAAGTTTAAATTTAAATAGCCACATGGATAGTGGCTACTCTACTTGGACAGTGAAGATCCATAAGAAGGCTTTGGACTTCTGCTGATGTGCAACTGGCAGAGATCTGAATCACTGAAATCCAGCTCTCAGAGGAACATGGAGACCCCAGCTGACATCAATAGCATAAATAACTTTCACTGTACATCTCTGTGCCTAAAACGTTATTTGACATTCAGGTTATTTTCTTAAGAAGGATTCCCATCAGTGCAATTACTGGGTCAGAGTATATGAACATTTCTAAGACTACTTGAAACACATTAACAAATCAGAAAGCCTCCTTTTTTAAACACCAAAAAATATATTGCTCTCTGTCCAGCATCTGACCCATGGTTCCCTAAGAAGGTCTATAACAATATATGAATATGTGGATTTTTCTAGTGAGAGGGACCATAAACTTTCATAGGATTTTTCAAAAGGGGTCCATAGTCCCCAAATGGTAAGGAAATATTGCTCCAAGTATGCATGCCATAGACTCAAGTCCCACTTCTCTTTCAGAGATTTCTTCCAGCTCCATCTGTCGAACTGCACACATAAATCAACATATATTGGAAGGAAAATAAACCATTATATCTAATCTTCTATGCTTGCTGCTTTGAGGATGGTTCATTGTGAAGCAGTCTTCATGTAAGGCAAGGGGCCTTACTAGCAACTTATACCTAGTTCCATTTCAAGACAATCATAATGATCAATTTGTGAGGCTGATGGAAAACCTTACAGAGGTTTCATAGTACAGCACTTGCTTAGATGTGGTTGTGCTGCGGAGACATTTAACCAGTAAAAAAAAAAAAAGAGAGAGATTGTTTTAGCGAAGCTCCTGCGATTAGGGCTGGGGAAAACTAACTGCTTCACTCCCTCTTCCATTTTCTGACAGGGTGAAAAGTACACAGCTACTGCTCCTCTGTCTGTCATTTTATGTTTTCCCAACTCCAGAATCTTTTCAAGGTGTGAGGAGTCAGTAGAACAAAAGGTGCTTTACTCAGAAAGAAACAAAAGCCCTGTACATTCCTCTTTCTGGAACTGAGACCGGGGAGTGGTGCAGGCAGGCAGGAGCAGAAATGAGGAGTCAGAGAGATCCAAGCTCAAAATGGCACACCACCAATAGATAGCTCCATGACCTTGGACAAGTCAGTCAAACCACCTGAATCCTGATTTCTTCATCTGTAAAATGGGGGTAATAATACCTTCATTTTGAGATTCTTTTGAGGATTAATCAAGATGTTATATGGGGAAAAGCATAGCACAGTGCCTAACACATACCAGATGTTCAACAAACATCATTTCCTTCCTTCCACATATCCCAACACTTCACATACAAAAGATGATACTTATGAGCCAAAATTTCTGATCCTCATGAGTTACAGCAGTGATTCTCATCTGGAGATGATTTTTCCCCCAGGGGCAATGTCTATAGACATTTTTGGTTGTCACAGCTGGGATGGAAGGGGGCAGGTGTGCTACTGGAATCTGGGTAGAGGCCAGGGATATTGCTAAACATCCTACAAATGCACAGGACATCTCCTCATGACGAAGTATACCCAGCCCACTAATCCTAATACTGTTGAGGTTGAGAAACCAGAGCTACAGAAAAGTACGAACTGTACCAGTCCTCAAGATGAGTGGTGTATCAATTAAGGCCTAAGCTCAGGCTGAGGAGATTTGAGCTCTGATAATTGTTAACTGTAGAACCTCAGGTAATACACTTAACATCTTAGAAAGCATATTTCAACTTTGGTAATATGGGGATAAAGCCACTGACTTCTAAGTGTTGCTGTGAAGAATAAATAGTAAAGGTGAAAGGATCAGGCACATAGTAGCCCATGATGAGTTTCCTTCTTCCCTGCCCTCACTTTCCAGTTTTAATCACAAGTATATGTCTCTAGAGTCAGCCACCTTTACTGGCAGTTTCCAGAGAGTGAGCAGTGCTGGAGTTACAAAAGGGAGCTCCGCCTGCCTTAGTGCACCCTTCTGTCTTCTGGGTATGCCAAGGTCTGAATATTCAAAAACCCCCTACAAGTGCATATAACTTACAAGGCATACCTAAGCTTTTCACATGGTTATTCTTAATAATATGCCATCATTTACTGACTGCTTACTACGTGCCAGGTACTATTAGGACTTTACAGAGTATCATGTCTTGTTTTGAAACAACACTGTAAGGTAGGTAGGTAGACTGGCAGGCAGGTGGGCAGGTAGGCAGGTAAGTAGGTAGGTAGATAGGCCAGCCAATCTCAATTTTACAAACATATACACTGAGGTTCAGGATGAGAAATGAGTTACCCAAGAGCTCAGAGCTGCTGAGTGGCACAGCTGGGATCTGGACCCAGGTCTGTCTTCCCCTAAATGTACTGTTCATCTGAAGATGAACAAGAAACCTTTTAAGCATCCTAACTAGCCACATCCCTGGACCACCTCGGTCCCATCAGTGCTTTCATTCATGAAGAAAGAACCTATACAACTTGGAGCCATTCATGATGCTGAAGGGACTTGAGAGCAACCATTCCACCCACAGGGCCTCTCGGTGCCCACAGATTAACCTGGCTCCCAGCCAGGGAAGCTGCACAATTAACATTAAATTTGTCCAATCCCTCTTTGAGTTCCCCCATATGACTCAACCCCTCCCCCAAGTGAAAATGACCAGCAGCTGAGACTTCTTGAAAACACTCACTTTCAGAAAGCGATGCCTACTCCCACAATTTCATCAGCATGTTTTTATTTTCTCTAAACTCATTTCAGATTTAAAAATCTGCATGACTCAACCCCTCCCCCAAGTGAAAATGACCAGCAGCTGAGACTTCCTGAAAACACTCACTTTCAGAAAGCGATGCCTGCTCCCACAATTTCATCAGCATGTTTTTATTTTCTCTAAACTCATTTCAGATTTAAAAATCTGGCAATTATCTCCTAATTTAGAAAATCAGTGTTGAGGAGGAGGTGAACTCCTACACAGAACACTTTTCAAGTGCCTGCTCTATACCAGGCCCTGGGAAAGGGAGACAGGAAGAGGGGCATGTGCCCTGAGGGAGTTCCAGTGCAGGTGAGGAGGTGGCCAAGTCACACACGGGGAAGAAACACGGAGGGGGCAACTGTTCTGGGGCTGAGCTGGGCCTCCTGACAAGGTTAGCACTCAAACCGAATTCTAAAGGACTAATGGGAGACAAAGCAGGGGGAAGGGTGGGAGGAAAACACACATACAGGCCAAGGCAGGAACACACCACCCAGGGAACAACAGGGAGCGTGTTACTTGTTATGGCGAAAGTGAAGAGCACATGAGAGGGAGAACAAGCAGTGACGGTTTTCAACTTCTTATCACAGAAAAGTTTAGACATACACAAAAGCAGAAAAAGGAACGTAATGAGCCCCTGCTCCATCCACCCACACCCCAGCCTCAGCAATCGGGGAGCCAGGGCCAGTCTTGTTCCATCAATATCCCCACCCACTTCCTCGCCTCTGTACTGTTTTGAAACAAATCCCAGACATCATATCCTTTCAAGTATAACTACCCCAGGTGCGTAGAGAGATGATTTCTTAATATGTCAAATCCCTGAGGATAACCCTGCATTTACAGATGTGTAATCAGAGGCCCAATGCGGCCACTTGCCTGTGGACACAGAGCTAGAAAGTGGGAGCCCCAGGGCTGGAAAGACCACCAGCTGTTACCAGCTCTCCTCACCATGCCTCACTGGCACCAAGTCATTCCAGCAATTCTGCAGAGACACAAGTCACTCTAAAACACGGAGAGTTGTTTGTAACCCAGGGTTCTGTCACTCAACGCCTGCGTGACTTGGGCAAGTCACGTAACCTCTACTAGTTTTTATGGCCTTGCATAAAACAGGGATAATATCATTACTTATAGAACAGCTGTAAGAATCGTATGAGATAATACACATAGAAGCTCTTTCTAGATATATAATAAAGTATTAAAAAATATGAGTAATTAAGATACTTTAATGCTAATTTTGTTGCCCAAAATCATACAATTCTTGATAGAAAACAGGTATATCTGACTGTTAAGTAGGGTAATCAACGTCCAAGCACTTTATAAGCTCCCTGATCAAACTGGTAGGCCTTTTCTGCTTCAGAAACCACCAGCACTTACTCAAGACATGTGTGTGTATGTATGTTCGCATTCACATGGGTGTGATGCCCAAACAGAAACACTTACCTGTCTGAGTCCTGCAGAGATTTTACCAGATGGGCATAAATGTCCTGCTCTTTCTTTAAGACGTGAATCAGCTTTTCATAGTCTGATTGTTGCTTTTCCTGGAAATGACAATGGGCATCTGACATTAAAGGAAGAATTTTAAAAGAATATATCCTTTTATTATACAAACATATGTAGCTAGTTCTGGTTTTTAAAACCAAATGAAGGTGAGGCCCTGTGCCAGGCTCTGGCTCAGGCCACAGTCACAGAGCGCCACCTTCAGGAGGCATGGGGAAGGACTGCCCATCACTTGCCCCAGAAAAAAACTGGGAGCTGTGCTTCCACCACCAAAGAGCGCTGCAAAAGACCCATCAGTTAGTTATCTGATTTGCCCTTCATGAAAATGCCACCCCTCCATGCTGGTGGTCATCGTTTCACAACACTGCCAAGAATGCCTTTCCACACTTGCTCTTGTTCCAAAGAAGAGAAATTCACAAACCAAAGCCTGAGGAGTATTGGGGACAAGGGACTTACAGTACAGTAGAAGAGGTCAAACGAGTAGCACTTGGGAGGCATCCAGAAGAGTGAAGACAAAGAGATCTGAGTTAGTTCTCGGCCACTTACTAGCGGTGTGACCTTAGGTAAGTAGTTTAACAAACCCTGATGATGGGTTCAGTCTCCACATTTACGAAATGAGGATGTAGTTTTGTTAACTTGTGAATGACCATTCCCAAATGTAATTTTTTTTTTAAAGTTCATATTTTGGCTTTGCCACTTACTAGTTCTGGGACTTTGGGAATTTACTTAATAGAAGCCTTGGCAGTCCTACCTGTAAAATGGTGGACAGTAATTACCACCTTATGAAGTTATGAAGCAGATAAAAGATAAATTGAGTACTGTAAGAAACCAGAGATATCTGGAGAAACAGCTGATTGGGACAAGGAAAATCAGGGACAACAGAAGAAAATCTACAGCATTTTGTTTGTAGTAGAAAATAAGTGCTTAAAGACTAGAACAGTGGTTGCCAGGGGTGGGGGAGGGGGAAAGAAGGGGGAAATGGAAGATGTTGGTCAAAGGGTGCAAAGTTTCAGTTATGCAAGATAAATAAATTCTGGAGATGTACAGGACGGTGACTGTAGTTAACAATACTGTACTGTATACTTAAAATTTGCTAAGAGGGTAGTGAAAGAAAGACAAAGTGAGTGACATATATTAATTAGCTTGATTATGGTGATTATTTCACAATATATATGTATATCAAAACATCAAGTTGTATATCTTAAATATATACAATTATTATTTGTCAATCATTCCTCAAAAAAGCTGAAAAAATAGAAGGAATTTTTTTTTTAAAAGGATGGAATGTTGGCAAAAGGACACAGAAGCCAGTTTGAAAAGGCTCCCACCAGCCAAATCTGAGACAACTTGAACATAAAAATAAATGACAGTAATGGATTATAACCCACTGATATATAGCCCACTGAATAAAAGAGGAATTCATGAATCCATACCGATATGAATGAACGAACAGGAAGAGTAGGCTTTTCTTTATAGTGAAAATGACAACTAATAAATGTAGAAAGAGTGATGGAATTAGAAAAATCACCATTTGCCAGCCATCGTGGTAATAAATAATTCAGCCAGATTGCATATTGTATACAACTATTGAGTCAACTTTGTATCCCACAAATATGTATAATCAATTACGCTTCAATAAAAATAAATTAAATAAATAAATAGAAACAAATAAATAAATAATTTGGCCAAGAATAAAAAAAAGGATGCTAAACCTAGTGGGTGAAAGTTTGAAGATCAGGATATTTACCTGTGTAAATACTGAAAAACCTCTCCCAAAACACTTACTAAATAAAAAGGAAAAAAGTAACTGGACAGTCAAGACACCTGCCAGACACCACCTTCACAAAGTTATCAAAGTTAGCATGGCCATGGGCCGGCCCGGTGGCGCACTCGGTAGAGTGCGGTGGTTGGGAGCGCAGCAGCGCTCCTGCCGAGGGTTCGGATCCCATAGAGAGATCGGTCCGCTCACTGGTTGAGCGCGGTGCGGGCATGATACCAAGGGTTGCGATCCCGTTGCCGGTCACGGTACAGGCGTGACACTGAGGGTTGTGATCCCGTTACCGGTCACGAAAAAAGACAAAAAGGAAAAAAAAAAGTTAGCATGGCCAGTAATGGGACAAATCCAAATCATGTGCCATCAAATAGCACACAATGAGAAGAATACAGCATTACTACTGTATTTATTCCTACCAAAGACGCACAGACTGAATCTGATCATCAAAAACAGATCAGACAGACAAAACCAAACTGAAGGACATTCTACAACATAACTGGCCTGGACACTTCAAAAGTATCAACATCATGAAAGTCAAGGAATGACTGAAGAACTGTTCCAGACTGAAGAGTAAAGAATCAAGACTATTAAATGCAAGGTGTGATCCTGAATTGAATCCTGCAAAGGATGTTACTGAGACAACTGATGAAATACAAATGAGTCTGAGGATCAGAAGGTACTGATAAGTCTAGGACAATTTCCTGGTTGTGGTGGCTGAGCTGAGAGGTTATAAAGGAGAATGTCCCTGTTTGCAGGAAATACATACTAAAGTATTCAGAGGTGACAGGGCTTCAAATGGGCAACTTTATCACAGCTCAGAAAAAATAAAATCCTTTACTTTTGTCACTTTTCTGTAAATTTGAAAATACTTCAAAAGTAAGAAAAAAATGTTAAATAAAGTTAATGTACAGAATACCCCATGCGTGGCACAAACTAGGTACTCTCTAAATGCTGGAAGGGGGATATTCAGTTAATGGAGAGACTGGGGCTGAATACAGTCTTTGTAGTTCACACTGACTTATGTTTTCTCCTAAAAGTTAAATATCACCTAGGAGAGGGGTTCTTAAGCTGATTAAAATTTAGGGGCTGCATGAACGTGAACAGAAAAAAAAATTACATCTATATTTCCACTACCCTCTAAGTGAAATTTAGCATTCCCTCCAATTATGAATTGAAGGAATACTGCTATTGCTACAAACCATAGTAGTACTAGTGGTATTACTGTAACTTGGTCATCAAAAGAAATATATTTTGTATATGTTGCAGATACCTCAAAATATTTATTCTTATCACTACTTTAAAACTACAGTAGTCATTTAACACATTAATAAAGAACCTCTATTTCTATAGCATAATTTTTTATGTTTTGGTAACTGAATTTCAAAATATTTGGTTTCCTTTAAAATCCTTTGTATATATTTTATGCACTTAAACATATTTCCAAGGAAGGGGTCCTTGACTTCAGGAAACTGCCAAAGGGAGGCAGAGGTCAAAAAAAGGTTAAGAATCCCTGATCTAGGAAAATACTGCTGTGCTTCCAACCCTGATAAAACAAAGCCAAGGCACCCTCTGCTAGTTAAGGATTTTAAATGCTAAACCACTAGTTTGGTCATGATAAGTTAGTCAACCAGACTGCTATAAATGTCAGGCCCTTTCATAAGCCATGCCACATGTCACTAGCACAAGGAGCTCCCAAATGCCTTTTGTACACAACAACAAAATCATGTGGGATTCTCTCAGCTCCCACCTGCACACAACCATATGTGCAGCCAGAGGATGGTAGAGAAGAGAGCAGGATTTGAATAGGACATCAAGACAAAGTAGGCTATCAAGTCCTCAGTACGTCAGCCACTGTGGTTAGCGCTTTCCAGGCATTTTCTCATTTAATCCTCACAGAAACCCTATGTGCTCACGTGTTACCAAGCTCCCCATTTTAGAGATGAGGCGCAGAGGGCTAATCATGCCCAAGGTCAGGGTGATGAGGCAAGGTGTGGGCTCCAAAGCTCATGCTCTTCAGTCTACCCATCACTGCCCCAGAATGGATGCAAAACACTGGGTGCTTGACGAGTGATAATGTTACAAGGGCAACATCACTGTCAGCCACACAAAGGACAGCCAAAGAAAATAAAGAAAAGCCAATGACAAAATTTTAAAAACCTACAACTGTTTGAGCACCTAACAGGAGAGGCAGTGATGGTTAAGCGTATGTGACCTTATTAACTGTGTGACCTTGAACAAGTTAGTCAACATCTCTGTGCTTCAATATCCTCATCTATAAATGGAGGTAATAATTCTAACTATCTCATAGAGTTGTTAAAGAGATTAAATGAGTTCATCTATACATAGTTCCCTGAGCAATGCCTGGCAAGGAGTAAACAAGTGATAAATGTCAGCTGTAACTACTATTCCTATGCTCTAAGTGCTATGCTAAGTATTTGACATCTCTAATCATCACAACATTCGAGGGAGGTATATTAATCTTCCCATTTTTGAGAGGATGAAATGGATTATCTGGGAGCAGAGGTAACTTGTTTGCATCCACTCAGCTAATAATTGCTAAAGTCAGAATTTGTGCTTAGGTATGTAACTTCAAAGCCAAGCAAGAAGGTCTACGAAAAAAGATCAATTAATACAGATTTCTGGTGGATGAAGTAGAGACTCCAGGAATGTATGTATGTGGAATGTATGTGCCCAGTGAAAGAATCCCAACCCCATATCTTAACTGGATCTCTGTAGGCTGAGCTCTAAGTCCTAGAAGAGGACAACCCACTGCCACGGCAGGGCCTGGATGCCCAGCTCAGCTCCCCTCTCCTCTTCCCGAATGTATGTATGTGGAATGTATGTGCCTAGTGAAAGAATCCCAACCCCATATCTTAACTGGATCTCTGTAGGCTGAGCTCTAAGTCCTAGAGGAGGACAACCCACTGCCACGGCAGGGCCTGGATGCCCAGCTCAGCTCCCCTCTCCTCTTCCCTCTGGCAGCTATTCCAAATCTTCACCAGGTTTTTCAGGCCACCATTCTCTTCAATTCCTGCTCTCATCCTTTCCTCCTGCCCAGTTCTCAGTGCAACTGGGAAATCCCTCCACTTGAGCCCCATGGAGGAACCCATCCCCTTTCTTCAGAGAACAAGTGCCATCATTTACCACTCTCCACTGACATACCCCAGGGCACCATACAGCATCCACTCAGGCCAGATCTCACCAGAAGCCTTCCTTGACTGAGAAAGATGCCTTCCTCCAGCCGCCACGGCACCCTGCTTCACATTCATCCCAGAGCTACTGTACCAACCTGTTCACAGGTCTGGGAGCTCCTTGTGAGCAGCAGTGACCCAAGCCAGGCACAGTGTCTGGCACAAATCAAATGCTGCCACAAATACTTGCTAAACTGATGATTAAATAGGTAAGAAGGGAACTCAGGGACCAATATGAATCTTAAGAGCAGAGATTCCTGGGGATATTTTGCATAATGGAAGTCAGAGTGAGTCAATGTCTTTCTGGAAGCAAATTGCTCACCCGTGTTAAATAAATGAACTCTTCGGAGCCATTTGGGTCTCATTTCATCAATCACCTATTCCCCTGCGTTGAATCATGCCCCATTAGAATGAAGTCATTTGGCTCCCTCAGCAGAGCTGACAAACCAGTAGATCTCCTTGCTATAGAGGCAGAGGGCCAGGCAGCCCAGAGGGGATAACAACAAACACCTGCTCTGCAGGAGCAACCAACCCCCACCCTTCACCCAGGCCCTCTAAATAAGAAGCAACCCAAACAGGAGGCCACTCATCCCAGAGAAGCCTCATCACTGCCCACAACTACTGTGTCTAACTCTGCAGTGTGCTCTCCACAGCCCTTGAAATGACCACCCAGTCACCTCCATTCCCCTGTCTCATCTGAGAACTGTCCCTAAAACACAGGAGCCAGTCCTGGGAAGACACCTCTCCTTTGTGAGCCAGGCCCTGGGCCCAAGCTAAACCTGTACAAGTCTCTCCCAGGAATTCAGAGATTTAAACGGAGATACCAAGAATAGGAGCTGCGGGGTGTGTCACGTCAACGACAGAGCCCTGGAGTCTACAGCTTCTGCTGTCAAGGTCCATGGGGCTGCCATGGTTTTCACCCTCCCAATGGTGTGGCTGCTCGACTCTTGCCTGGCATCTGTGAGAGCCTCCAGTATGTTCCCAATCAAAACCACCTTTCATCGTTGTTTCGCTCAAACTACTCAATATTAGATTTTGTAGCTTGCAACCCAAAGAACCTTAATACACTTACATTATTTCTAATCCTCTCAGAAGGCAGACATGTAATTCCTCCCTTTACAGATTAGGAAGGTGAGTTTCAGAGAGATTAAGTGACTTGGCCAAGGTCACAAGACTAGTAAGTAGGAGGACTGGCATTCGAACACAAAAGCTGGGGCATTTTCTACTCTACCATAGTTTCCTTAATGACTGGAAGGAAACCCATGTAATGTGCAGAACACAATCTGATGAGGCAGCAGTCATGTAAAGAGAAGCCTTATGGATCATTTCTTGGTAATCAGGGTAATTTAGTGGCCTGGTAGACAGACGGCATCTATTTCTGTAGCTATGTCACAGCCCTGCAACAAAGACATTTATTTTAATACTCAGAAAATTCAGCAGCAATGTCCCAACCATGCCAATAACCGAGCTATAAATCTCTGGCTGCAGCGAGTTAAATCTACTCAGTGTGTTTTACTCTCTAGTCTTCAATTCCCAGATCTTCTAGCATTAATTCTCGAGATCACATAATCATTAGAATGAAAACGGACTGCACAGAGTCTATGGAGACATCATCATAGCCTCAAGTTCTTTGTAGAAATGGGCAGAGGATAAATCCTAAATCAACACAAAATGGCCAAGGGCATAGCAGAAGAAATCCATGTTTTCTACAAAGAAAGAACTACAATCTGAAAAGCTTACCATTCTCGGGCAGAAAAAAACTGTAAAGCTGTTGTAGTTGGGATTTCTTAAATTGACACCTAGAAATTTATAATTCTTAAGTGATAACATAATTCTTTACCCACAATTTGCAGTCAGTCTTGCAGAACAGAATTAAAACCTTTGCTAAAACATTTAGGTATTCTGCACAGTAATTTAAACCAGAATCTGATACTACCAAAATAGCCATGCAATGACTTTGAACTTGTGGTTATACAAAGTACAGACATCACCCACCACAAAAAGCTAAAAACAAAATGGTGCGGATGATAAGACTAGTGAAATTAAATTTAAATATACTCAATCAGTTCAATAAATTTATAAATATTTTGTTCATCATTTGACACTTTTTATATGACTAAAATGTGATTCAAAATAGCAAAATTTAACTAAGTATATTCAAATTAGTGAAGATACGTCCATCTAAAATACCTGATGGGCTACTTTCTTGTTTCAAAACAGATTATGCCTTATTACAGGTTAAGGTGAATCTTAACAGCCCAACTAAATTGTATCAAAATCAAATAGCTAAAAGCAAGGTAGAATCACAAAATATTAGCCCTCTGAGATTTAGTTATCAAACTTGCCCAAGGTAACCTAAGTGAAATGACAGTGCTAAGAGAGAAATCCAGGCCTCCAGATTCCTGACCCAGCCCAAGGGCTCCACTAGCCCATGCTGACATCCTCAAGAGAACCAGCAAAATAGAAATACTCAAATGGTCAGAATTAAGAAAGAGCTCTAGCTGTCCAGCCGGTGATGCCCCCAGGACCAGGTCTGATACTGAGCTGATACACAGCACAATGGCTTGTACTCATTGCTAAAATACTAAAATTCTTCTATATCAGTTGGAAAACAAACCCTGGTCCATCCACTCTAACCACCCTAACTGCTCTGGCCCCTCCTCATGGTCCACTAGGGACCTTCCCGTGGTCAATAACTACAGGACTGGTGGTTGGTGCAAGAGCAGGCCTCCAGTTCCCCATTCCAGCCCTACTGCCTGAGTTTGCTCTGAGGTCCAACGCCTGTGCTGCACTGGTTGTTAATTATTTTGAGAATCACACCTCACAAAACCACAAGTCATGATCAGAGCCATTCATCAGAGTATTAATTTGCGTAAGAGTTCTCTATCTTCTGAATGTATGAACTTAATTAAAGCCAGGTTAAAAAAAAAAAAACTTTGGCCTACAGTCAACTAACTCCTTTCCTTTCCCATATCTGGCTGTCTAGTTGCATTATTCATTTACTCACTCAACAAACATTTACAGAGCCAGGCAATGGGCTAAGCATTGGGATTCAGAGATGAGGGCCAGTCCCCTACCCCTGAAGTGCCTGCCCACAGCCCAGGTGAGGGGAAACAGAAAGGTGGTCCTATAACACCAACACAAGGAGTAGGTGCCATGACAGAAGGGTGCCCAAAGTGCTATGAACCAGAGGAAGAGGGGACCTCACTTCTAAGCAGAGCCAGGGAAGGCTTCACAGAGAAGGTGACACTACAGTGGTACCTGCAGAGATGTTCAGGATTTAGGAAGTAAGCAAGGAAGGAAAAGGCATTCCAGGCAGATGGAACAGCACATGCAAAGGCACAGAGAGATACAAAAATGGTGGTTTCAGGATTCTGCAAGAAGTTAGTTGTTGCTGCAGATGAAAGAAAATGAGACTGGAAAGATAATTTGGGTCCAGATAAGAAAGGGCCTGCTGTGTTACTCTATGTGCATCTGAACAAGAAAACTTATATAACACTTGGGATTACATCGTTCTTGAGAGGTGAGCCCTGACTGGGCAAATACAAGGCTCCTCTTTTAACAAGCTGTGGTTTCTCAACTTTGGGTGCACTGCAAATACTAATGCTCAGCTGAAGAATATTAATCTGTAAGGTGGATAGACTAAGAACTCCTCCTCCTACCTGCTGCAGGCTTAATTATCGACAAGAAGATTTGAGGATCAAAGGAGTTATCAAATATGTTGTCAGAAAAGAATACGAATACATTCACGTGTGAACATCTAATTTTAGTCAAGCTTACCCCAGAGAAGATGATTTTGCTGCCTGGTGACTGTTGAGAAGAGCACTTTTCTGTTATTAAGCCTTCGCTACTGAACTTGACATCCTCCACAGTCGTTAAATAACTGTTCTGCTGTAATGTTTCCAACTCTTGTTCACTGAATTTCTAAGGAAACAAAACAAATTATAAGGAAGATTTCATCAAAAAAAAAATAGTAAGAGATTGTCCCAAACTCTTTAAGATATTTTATTTTTTCACAATACCCATATGTTCCCTAAATAATTTCTATCTATACTGCAACTCCATTTCTGTTTTACAACCTGGAGAACAGCAGCATGCCAGCAAGGCAGAGACAAGGATCGTGGCGGTCGTCACAAACCTTCCTTATTCACCACCACTGTGACTGCCTTTCAGTGCGTGTGGAGGACAAAGCCCAGGCTCTGACCAAACAGAAGTGGTCCCAAGACTGGGTCTCAATGGACTTCCCTCCAACACTTCCCAGGTGAACTCCCTACTTTCTAGATCCCATGTCTCTCTCTTTTTTGGTTATTCCCTCATTTATACAGAATCATCCTCTAAGAGCTTCCTGCAAAGAGTACAGAGGAGGCAGATGATTTTAGGCACCAAATGTCTGGAAAAGCCTTTATTCTACCTTCTCACTTGAATCACTTTTCCTCAAAATCTAAAAGCATTGTCCTTCTGTCTTCTGGTTTCCAGTTTTTCTGCTGAGAATTTTGATGCCATTACAAGTCTGGGTCCTTTGTACGTGACCTATACTTTCCTCCCTCTGGAAGCTTTTCAGAGCCTCTTTTTCCCTGTGTTCTGAAATTCCACCATGAAATGTCTTGGGGTATGGGTCTTTTTTCATTCACTGTGCAAGAAACAGAGCAGGCCCTTTGAATGTAGAAATGCCCATCCTTCCACTCTGGAAATTTTTTTCTCATTACTTTGAAATTTTGCCTGTTTTGTCTTTCTGAAATGCCTGTTAGTCATACTTTAGACTTCTTGAATCAAGCCTCCAATTTGCTTATCTTTGCTCTCCCATCTGTTTGTTTGTTTCTTTTTTTTTTTTTTTTTTTTTTTTTTTTTTTTTTTTTTTTTTTTTTTTTTTTTTTAAAAGTTTATTTATTTTGAATTCTCGTTTCTGGAAGAATCACTCAACTTTATCTTCCAACTTTTCTAACTCTTCTATTAAACTTTTTATATCTGTAATCACACTTTTAATTTCCATTCTTCTTTTCCAAATACTTTTTTTTATTAGATCCTGATCTTATTTCTTAACTAAAGATGTTATAGTATAGAATTTTTTTTTTTTTTAAAGATGTCTAGTTTTCTTCTCCTCCTTGCACTGTTTCTATTTCCTCTATGTACCTCAGTTCTATCTGTTCTGGCCTGTCTTCCCTCTTAAACACTTTTCTCCTATTTGATGAACTTGGGCCATCTACCTACTTTTAAGGGTTAAAACTGCTCAGAAGAAATGTGTGGAAAGGGCACCTCGTGGCCTCACTGTGAGATGCTCAGTGGGGACCCATCTGTTTTGTTGGAGGGCCCCCACCCCCCTCAGAGGAAGCTCACTGCTAAGTATGCCCACTTCTACTCCCTACCCATTTTCATTCCAACAATACTGCTTTCCAGTATTGCATCCAGTTGCATCCAGTGACCCTCAGGCCAGAGCTTCTCTGATTTAAGGTCTCCAGAGATCTCGGGGTAATAAGGAGAAGAGGGTCACCTGTATCCACTTAAAATTCCAGACAAATCTGTTTTCAAAGGTACTAGGTACATCTAAAGCCTGCTGAGCCTTTCTGGGGTTCTGTAGCATAAATCAGCTTGCATCTTGCTGGTTTTTCATCCCAAAGGCATGTAGCAGAGTAGAGAAAGCTGAATCCTACCTATGCAGTTACCATTTGCCCATCCACTTGTCATCCAGAATTGTGTTGAATGCACACCTGCTGTTGTACCTACTGCCATTCTCCTGGTTAGTCCTTGAGGTTTATGCCTTCTTATTCCTTCAATGTTATTTTAATGAGGTTTCAGTAGGTAGCAGAGTTAAACACCTATGATGTATGTTTCACGGTTATTGTCAGTCTGAGTTCAATCCCAAAAACTTACTATATGACCAAATAAGAAGGCATTCCTAGACAAAAGGAACAGTTAGAGGACAAGTACAGAGGAGTGAAGGGCACGGCACAAATAAGGAACGGCAAGAACTCGCAGTAGAAGTACATCACTGAGGTGGGCTGGGCACCGGAGCAGACAGGCCAGGGCCTGAATCCAGGCTCTACCATTTACTAGTCATACAACCCACAGTAAGTTCTTCCCTTCTCTGAGCTGATCTTTCTCCGAACTTACTTCCCTGGTGGCTGAGGCCCAAATTATATAAAGAAAGCTCTAAAGTGCTCTGAAACACAGCAATGAAGACTATAACCATAAATGTTCCTGCAAAAGAGTTGTTTTTTGTTTTTTTTTTTTTTTTTGCGGGGGACGGGGAGAGGAGAAACAATGTGTGCTAAATCAAAAGATTTAAATACACACAAAAAAATTATTATGGCACCTGAAGCAACAAGTCCTCTTGATTGGCACTTTCTGTTGGACGTTTGGTCACTTGCTCTTGACTGTGCAATTTTTTATTGCTTTCACCCAGAAGACTCTGGTAACGATTCTCTATTGCTTTCTCTCTTTCATTCACTTCGTTGCGTAATTTTTCAACTTCATTTCTAAGGTCCTACCAGAAGAAAAAAAAAAGAAATTTACTTTACAAAAATTTCAATGGGACATCTCTTACCTGTTTGACTTGCCAAAATACTGCTATAAGAGAGCAGCTAATAGATTTAACGTATTTAACAAATGCATACTTCCTTCTCATTTAAAGTCTTACAAAGGGCCGGCCCGGTGGCGAACTGGAGAGTGCGCCACTTGGGAGCGCGGCGGCGCTCCCGCCGAGGGTTCGGATCCCATGTGGAGACCGGTTCCCGCTCACGGGTTGAGCGCGGTGCGGGCGCGGCACCGAGGGATGCGATCCCATTGCCGGTCCCCGGTGCGGGCGCAACACCAAGGGTTGCAATCCCGTTACCGGTCAGTAAAAAAGACAAAAAGGAAAAAAAAAAAAATAAAGTCTTACAAAAACTAACTTTAAGAATAATCTGAAATTTGGAAAAAGCGTTATGTGCAGATATTTATCACAACATTATTTACAATGCTGAAAAACCAGAAAGACACTAGATCGGCAACAGAGAAATAATTATGAAGAGTAAAGTACCAAAAAAAAAAAAAAAACCACTATTACGAATAAAAACAAACCAGGATACCAAATCATATATAATACGATACTGATTTTTTTTTTTTTTTTTTTTTCCAAAAGATGACCGGTAAGGGGATCTTAACCCTTGACTTGGTGTTGTCAGCACCACGCTCAGCTAGTGAGCGAACCAGCCATCCCTATGGGGGATCCGAACCCGGGGCCTTGGTGTTATTAGCACCGCACTCTACCGAGTGAGCCACAGGCCGGCCCTACGATACTGATTTTTTAAAAAATATTTATACACATGTTGTAAGACTAGTTGGGAACACATCAAAATAATAACTAAATACCTAAGTAGAAAGATTATGGGCAATTTTCAGTTGATTTTTACTTCATTATTTTTCTGGGTTCCCAAAATCTATAAATAATCCTGTATTACTTTCATAATCAGAAAAAAAAATTTTTTTGTCTTAAATAATACTATTTACAAAAAAATTATAATAACATGGAAAATGTTCACGTTATAATGTTAAGGAAAAAATAAGGGAGAAAGCAGTGTACAGTATGATCATGACTACCTTAAAATATGTACTATTTGTAATATTGAAGCACTATTCATAATATCAAAAGTCTGTAAACAATCCAAACGTTCACCAATAGAGAAATAAACTATGGTACATTCTCACAATGGAGCACTCTCAAGCTGTAAAGGAAAAGGAATGAGAACTCTATAAATACACTGCCCTAAAGAAATCTCCAGAAAGTATGGGGGGGTGAGCGGGCTGGTCTGAGGAACCCAAGAGAAATAAGTATGGACAGCAAACTGCCACTTATTTAACCATAAAACAAATTAAATGGTTGCCTATAATATATAAGAGAGAACAAGGCAGAGGAGTCTGAAATAAAATTCTTGTTACAGACATGATGTTGGAACCATTTATATGTTTATATAATTACCTTAAAAATAAAATAAAAATCCCCCCAAACTGAAAGCAGAGCAAACGAGCAAACAAATGAATCTTTCTTTGTATTGAGTTGATTGGCTAACCAAACAGTAAGGAATTATTTCAATAACTTTAAAACAGTAATTTGTACATCTCTAGTGGGATATTTCTCTAAGGACAAAAGGAATGCAAAAAATCTTAAACTGTTTCTAGTCGTCATGTGTAAGTAATAATATTGGCATTGTTATTCTGAAAATGTGTGTATATATATATATATAATATATATTTATTAAATAAGAGATTATTAGCATCATAAAAACCAAGACATTACACATAAGAGAAAAGAAACACAAACATAAAAAAAGTTAAAACTTGTAATTCTTTTTTTTTTAAGATGACAGGTAAGGGATCTTAACTCTTGACTTGGTGGTGTCAGCACCACACTCTCCCAAGTGAGCTAACCAGCCATCCCTATACAGGGATCCGAACCCGTGGCCTTGGTGTTAGCACCACACTCTCCCAAGTGAGCCATGAGCCGGCCCCTGTAATTCTAAATTCGAGTATGAAATACCAATATGAACTTACATGTTCTGTTATTTCCTTCCTTCCACTGAAAAAGACTAGAATCAGTGACCTCCCTGGTATCCAGACTGTAGTCTTTAAATACCATTTCCTACCCACAAAAAAGCACAGCATTCTTCAAGCAGTAATTCTCAAAGTGTAGTCCCTAGAACAGCATAATAAACATCACCTGATAATTAAATATACAAATTTTGGGCCCCACTCCGGACCTATTAAATCAGAAACTCTGAAGGTAGGTAGGGCCCATCAATCTATGCTTTAACAAGCCTTCCAGGTAAATCTAATGCACTCTAAAGTTTGCCTCAGAGAAAGAGATGACTGCAGACCTGGGGCAGGAATGTATGATATGGTTCCAGACATCTTTTCATATCAGAAAGGAAGGAAACTATCAAAGACAACAGTGTTCACATCCAAGCAACTCAGGAATCAACTACAATAAGCCTTCCCACTACCCAAAGATAGGACAATTAGAGTTTTAATAAGAATAATAACAATAAATTAAAAGACATGAAAAATGTTAAAAATCTATGAATTCATAATGAAGCTTTTTTTAAAAAACACTTTTGGTCACTCTGATAGGCAAAATAACAGGCCTTCAAAGATGTTCATACCCTAATCCCCAAATGGAAAAAGGAAATAAAGGTTACAGATGGAATTAAGGTTGCTAATCAACTGACTTTAGAGAAATTATTCTGGATTATCTAGGTGGTCCCAGTATAATCACAAGGATCCTCAAAAGTGGGAGAGGGAAGCAGGAAAAACACTCCACCAGCCAGTGCTGGCTTTGAAGATGGAAAGGGGCCAAGGGTCTGGAAATCAGGCAGCCTCTAGAAGATGCAAAAGGTAAAGAAACGGATTCTCCCTGGAGCCTTCAGGAGGAACACAGCCCTGCCAACACCCTGATTTTAGCCCAGTGAGACTCATTTCAGACTTCTGACTTCCAGAACTGTAAGATAACAAATTTGTTTTGCTAAGCCACAAAGTTCGTGGTAATCTTTGCAGCAACAATAGGAAGCTAATACAGGCTTTGCAGGATTCTAGGGAACTCATTTTTTTCTTTCCTGTATGAATTGCACTTAGGGAAACTAAATTATGAAAAACAAGTTTCTCTTTATAGATGTTTTGAGCTATAAAGAAGGAATAATGAAATTAAATTATCACTATTTTGCAAATGATCATCAATGGCTAGTAAAATCAAGAAAACAGGTTGGGGATATCCACATGTAGAAGAATGAAACTAGACCTATACATCTCACCATACACCAAAATTAACTCAAAATGGATTAAAGACTTAAATATAAGACCTGAAACTATAAAAGTCCTAGAAGAAAACAGAGCAGAAATCGTATACCTTCGTATAATGTATGCTATACGAAGTTATTACGGATACGTCCATACATGCCAGCACCACACCGTCCTCGTCACTGTGGCTCTGTAGCGCACTTTGACATTGGAAAGTGTGTGACTTCCCACATGCTTCTGCCTTTTCAAGATTCTATCAGCCGTTTAGAGTCCCTTGAGATTCCCTATGAACTTGAGGATGGGCTCTCCCATGCTTGCAGAATCCCTGAGGAGATGCTAGGCCACTCTAGAGGGGCTGAATATTCCAGTAGGTTTTGTTTGTGAGAAAATTCCAGCAGTAATATTTGAAGTGTGGAAGATTTCAGTAAAACTTGTCAAATTCGGACTCAGTATGCTTTTTGCTCCAGTACCCCAGGGTTTAAGCAGGAAAAGTTTAGATTTTTAAAAACTTTTTACAGACATACCTCAGAGATATCATGGGTTCTGTTCCAGACCACCACAATAAAGTGAATATCTCAATAAAGAGAGTCACATGGATTTTTTGGTTTCTAAATGCATATAAAAATTATGTTTATACAATTCTGTAATGTATTAAGTGTGCAGTAATAGCATTATGTCTAAAAAATAATGTACATACCTTAATTATAAAAGACTTTATTGCTAAAAAATGCTCACAGTAGTCCGAGCCTTCAATGAGTTGTAATCTATTTGCTGGTGGAGGGTCTTGGCTCGACGTTGGTGGCTGCTGACTGAGCAGGGTGGTGGCTGCTGAAGGCTGGGGTGGCCATGGCAATTTCTTAAAATAAGATGACAAAAACGCTTGCCACTTCAACTGACTCTTTCATGAAAGATTTCTCTGCAGCCTGAGATGATGTTTGAGAGCATTTTACCCACAGCAGAACTTCTTTCAAAATTAGAGTCAGTCCTCTCAAACCCTGCTGCTGCTTTACCAGCTAAGTTTGTGTCGTGTTCTCAATCCTATGTTGTCACTTCAACAATGTTCACAGCATCTTCAGCAGGAGCAGGTTCCATCTCAAGAAACCACTTGCTTTGCTCATACAGAAGAAGCAACTCCTCATCCATTAAAGTTCCATCTGAGATTGCAGCCATTCAGTCCCATCTCCAGGCTCCGTTTCTAATTCCAGTTCTCTTGCCATTTCCACCCCATCTGCAGTGACTTCCTCCACTGAAGCCTTGAACCCCCCCAAAGTCTCCATGAGGGCTGGAGTCAGCTTCTTCCAATCTCCTGATGATGCTGGTGTTCTCACTTCCTCCCGTGAATATTTCATGACATTTCACAAAATAATTGACTAGTACTCTTCAAAGCAACAAGGTCATGTAAAACAAAGACTGAGCAACTGTCTCAGCAAGTCTAAAGAGACCTGACAATTAAATGCAATGTGGATCCCGGGCCAGAAAACAGGCACTAATGGGAAAACTGGCAAAATTCATGTAGAGTCTGTAGATTAGTGTATAAGTACTGTTTCAGTGTTAATTTCCTGTTTCTGGTAAGTGTGCTACAGTTAGGGAAAATGTTAACATTAAGGGAAGCTGTGTTATGGACAAAGGGGAACTCTGTACTATTTCTGAATCTTTCCTCTATGTCTAAAATTACTTCAAAATAAAAAGTTTTTTTAAAAGAAACATACCAGTCAA